GCAACTAGCATTAATACACTTACAGCTGACATGTTTCACAGAGTTTGAGACCTAGAGGAACTCCCACCACACAACCTCTACTCAGATGTCAGCACCAGTGCATCACGTGGTGTTCTGCCCACAAAGGAGGGGCTGACATTCCACCACCAAAAGGGTATAGGTGGACGTCTACAGGCGATGTCATAGAACCCATCCCAATGACCCAGAAACGAATGCCAGCACTGTGTCTAGAATTGCTCACCTGTAAATGCACAACAGGTAGATGCTCCTCATTCAGGTGTAGCTGCGCCGAGATCATCATGGGATGTTCCTTTGGATGCAGTTGTGCTATGTCATGCCTAAACAGAAACAACTTACCTACCTCTCCAGATGACTCGGTGACTGGAGATGACATTATTTCACATTTTATTTTTAATACTTCATAATACTACAAGTATTCTCATGTTTGCTTCTTCACTCAAATTATATACTAGTGAAATGCTCAGACTTAAGTGCAGTATATCTACAGTTTTGAGTGAAAATATGTCCATTTTAATTTAAATCTAAATTTGGGTATGGGTTGAAGTCGCGAGAGAAATTAGCTTTCAATATTTCCTTTTTTCATTGTTAGGGATCAATTTACCACAGGAGTCAGTGAATAATGTACATCATTGAAAAGACAATGTGAAAAGCTTTCATATGATATATTACATGACCATGTTGAAGAACTATATAAGATCTTGATTTTGAAAACAGGTCAAAATGGTGGCCATCTTGAAATTCAAGATGGCCACCATAAATGCTCACAGAAAAACTTGAAACATCATTTTTCTTTATGAGTTTACTATTTTGGTGTTTTTAAGCATTGTTTCAATTATCCCACTCATCGACTACAGCAGCAGCATCTACCATCATATCTCAATAAGCAATTTTCGTCAAAATTGGTCTTTGGGGGGTTGGGTAACATTGTATACAATATCTCAACCCCTATGTAATATATTTTCATTTTGTTTTTTGTATAAGATAGTACAATGGTTAAGGCAGATTTTAATACCCAGTAATAGTGGTTTTATTGTCACAATTCAATGGAATTAGTGTTTTACCTACTCACAAGATTTGAAAATGAAGTAAAAAAACATGATTTTTACCAATGTTTCCACTGAGATTTAGAATAACAGTTAAATGAAACAAAATGTTTGCCAAATTCAGATAACCGAACATATTACCTGTAATCAAAGACATAATTTGGATAGTTTAATGACTTAATAAAAATGTTACAGCCAATTTTGTCAAATTATGCATTTTTCCTTCAATTTATGCAATTTTGACCCCCTGAAAATTCCTGCAAACACTTGCAAGTTTACTACCCAATGGGAATTGTGTACAGATACCTCCTTTATGCAATAGAAAAGGTTTAAGGTATACAGGAAAATGTGGGAACGAAAATCTTGTTTTTCACCCCTGGCCAACTGACTATCAGAGACCTCACCAGAAATGATCCTCTCAAACTACCTTGATGGCCAAACCTGCTGATCCATCCACACAAGCAGGCTACCAAGTCCGTCTCTGGACATGTTTCATCTGCATGCCTGGTACATTTACAAAGATCTTCAGGTGCCAAGTTACTCAAATAGAACTGCCAAAGTAAAAGTGTTGATGCACAGACCTTCTGCAAGAACAGACATCAGGATCCCACCTCTGCTTTCCCCCAATTCTTGGTCGAATTTGTATTCCTCTTATGCAGCAAATATCACCCCAAGAAGAGTACTATCACCACCTATCTGGTAGCTCTTAATTCGGTGTTGGTGATTCGAAGATCACAAGATGACTAAGATCTCAGAACTCCAAGCGTTGCTGCATTCCTTCAGGATGGAAGATCCTGGCATGGGATCTGAACTTGGTTTTGAAGTTGTTGCATGCTACTCACTTTGAGTTTGAGCCACTTTAATTTACCTCTTTTTCTGACCTCACCAAAAAGACCGCTTTTCTTCTGGCTCTGGCCAATGTGGCCAGGGTAAGCGAGCTACATGCTCTTGAGACCTAAGCCAAGAATCAAATCCCAGGGCAGCCAGATAGATTGTTCACCATCCCTCCTCTCTCGTCGATAGTGTGTGCCGAAGATGAGGAGGAACTCTTCCTATGCCTGGTGTGAGCACTGCTGTGTTTCATTCATCGATCTAAGACCAAACGCTGGTCTCTGACACATTGCCAGTCACTATCTAAGAGACTTGGCTTTGGAGAAAGTGGAGGGCGTTTGCAGTTTGGGTCCACTGGTATTGGCTCTACAGGTCACCAACCCCAGACGCCACTGACTTGTCTCAGACACCAGAGTTGGCCTTTCGTACTCGGTAGGTCAGTCTTAGATTTTGGTATATGCTTTTCTCTATTACTGTTTTCCTGCCTGGTCATCCTCGATTCCTCACCCATCTCTTTTTCCATATGACTGGAATGGTCATTGGTTTCCGTTCTTCACTCAGGATGCAGTACAAGTTACCTGAACATTGTTGAGGGTTTATTGAGGATCACATCTGAAGGTATGACTACCCTAGTACCATCCAATAAAGATGCATTAAGGGTTAATGCAGGATAAGATTTAAAAAATTGTAAAATGTAAATATTCTTAACATTTGTATACTTATTCTGCATAAATTTGTCTTAGTGCCTGCCGTCGCAGTGCTATCTCCATATGTAAGTCTTCAGATGTTATGTTTCAAGCAGTAATGTGATTATACATGAGGGTCCAGTTTGGACAAGCTCGCTTACCCTAAAGAAACCAAAGAAGGCTGTGCACTAGACTGCCTTGAACAGTCTGGCTTCATATGCTGACGAGTATACGTGTGGCAGATTGTTGGTTACTACCCGTAGCAGATCTGCCGTGATGGGTTTTCCGCTGTCTTGTCAGCCCACTGATTTGTATGAGCATGTTAATTGCTTACACACCAGGAAAGGGTTTTACAATCAGCTGCCCATGAAATTTGTGCTGTGAAGACAGCCCTGCAATGTAAGTCTTGTAAGTAATGTATTGATGCCGGTCTGGTGTGTAGACCATGTGTTCGCAGACCAGCTTCTTGCCTCAGATCAGCCATTCAGCCATATGTTGCACAGCATAGGTGTGGCGTTCTGGTCCACATATAGTGCTGTTACCCAAAAGAGTTTGAGCTGAAACCTGGAGAGCAATAGTGATAGCAGTGGTACAAACATACTTTGCCTTAAACAGATTATTACACCGGAGGCACTGCAGGATTAGGTGGCGGAGTAGGCTCATCACTCGGTGGCCTTGTTAGACTGTTTGTACATTATTGTGACCATGGATTGCTTGTCACAGAAGAAGAGGACCTTTTTGTTTGAAAGTTGCTTGCCCCAAAGTTGGATGGCCAGTGTGATGGGGAACAGCTCCAGTAGAGTCAAGTCACATGTAGTTCCATCTGTAATCCACCAGGGAAGCCCGAAACCCAGCCCCTCCAGCAGCATCTGTAAACAGCTGAAGAAAATCTACCCACAGTTGATCCTGGAACACTGAAATGCCATTTTAACTGAAATGAGAAATGTTAACCACATTAGTGGTCTTCCGTTGGTTATCCTAATGTGGTGAAATGGTTGCTTACCTATGCTAAGCAGGTTGATTAGGCTACGGCTGAATGCCCTTGCCATTTGTATGGCCCTGCACATAAACTTAAGCTTGCCTATGAGGGACTGAAGGGCGCTTTGCGTGACCTTTATGTTACCTTTCGACAGGATGTCTTGGATTTCTGCTGTCACCTCCTTTATCTTGGACTTTGGGATTCTGATCTGCATTGCATTAGTGTCAATTTCCAACCCTAAGAATGTCAGTTGTGTTGTGGGGCCGACAGTCTTCGGGCAGTAGGGACCCTAAACTGTTCCAGTGTATGCACACACCCATTGAGGTTGTCTAAGCCGTGACTGGTGCCCGCTGTGACCCCCATTAGGAAGTCGTCTAGGTAATGCATGATCTGGCACATTGGGAGTTAGGATTGCATATACCATTGCAAGAAGGTACCAAATGTTTCGAGTATGGCGCAAGATACGGAGCAGGTGAATGGAAAGCATTTATCAAAATAGAACTCACCTTCAGATCTCATGCCTAGTAACTCGAAAGTAGACGGATGGACTGGCATAATTATATCGAATTTTGCTAGTAATGCTTCCTTTCCCAGACGACTTCTGTGGAAAATCTGAAAGTTTAATTAAGTGTTATTGTAGCCAAAATACACAAATTTGGCAATGACGTAATAGAGGTAGTATTCTTAGAATGATTAACATGATAACTATTGTTTGATTTAAATAACAGCAGATGGGTCACTCCATTCCGGAAACAGTCATGTTTACAACCCAAAATTATCCTGTATGCACCTTACCTGTTTGTTTACAGAAGATTAAGTAATTACGGTAGTTCAACTGACAGCTATTCTTGGTAACACAACCATTCAGTTGAAATAAGCTTTCATATTCACATAAAATAGTTAATACTGTTTTTGCTGTAACGGTTCTTGATTTGCATGATTTAAGCTTATCCACCCAAGGACTTGATTTTCTGTACTCTACAGTACTTTAACCATTAATGCAACACACTCGTTATAGTTTTAAGGTTTTATTACTGAGACCTATTGTCAATTGCCCGTTAAAACATTGCAAAGGGGCATGAGTACATCACACATTATCACAACATACAGTTTCCCTTGACAACCTCAATATGCATTGTATTCGCACAGTTTTAACACACATGGCACTGCATCTTTCATTTTTATAACAGGTCCTTTTTACTACTTTGGGCAAAGGGACATAAGTTGTCCTCACATACTGCTAAATAATGAAAGATGCAAAGGAGCACACTGCCACTCAAATAAAAATCAGCAATTAATTCTTCCACCATTACAAACTGTTTTAAAATAAGTACCTACATTTGTCTAATTCAACACATTTTCATTATCCTGAAATAGCTTTTTTATCATTTTATCATTTTTGTGAATTATATATGTTTTTTGTACATTTATTTCTTCCAGTGATTGACTGTGGCACACCATCTGGTGTCCCTGGAGCTGTCATACCTGCAGGCATCCAAACAACCTACGGCACACAGTTTCAATTTGTCTGTAAGAACCAGTACACAAAAGAGGGAACATCCAGTCTAAATAACGATACTGTTCAGTGCAAGAGCAATGGCTACTGGGGATGGGGCACTCTCAGGTGTCTTGGTGAGTAACAGATTTGTTATATGAATAGATACTATCATGACTCAAAACTCAGAGCTCATGGCTAATCTGTTTACTTTGGTTGTCAGATGATGGCTAGATTGAACATACCTATTGCCAATTATGTTATTTTTTTATTTTCTTATGATACATACTTTTGAGTTGGACTGTATTTTGGTTTGATACCCATGTATATAAGTCAACATTTTTATCAGTATTTCTTGGTCTTGTCATGAACCTTGGTTTGTCTACATTTTTACATACATCACTTCGGTTGACACATGATACAACTGAAATACTTTTCTAAGTGACATTATATCAAACTCACTCACTCATTATCAATGTTTGCCCTAGGTAATACGTGCAGTGACCCTGGTCGACCTGTGGATGGCACACAACATGCAACTTCTTATGAGGAGAATAATCAGGTCAACTATACATGTAATCGCCCAGGCTACACCCTACAAGGTGCCACACCCCTCACCTGTATACTCTACAGTGGTTTGTACTGGGACCGACCTGTCCCCACATGTGTTGGTAAGTCATTTAACCTATCTGGTATATTACTGATTCAAGCTTTCCATGATGAGACAGTCAGCTGTAAACATAACAAACCTCAATATTATAAAAATATCAGTTATATATGTAAATATAGTTATATATATATATATATATATATATATATAGCTGCAAAGCAGCAATGGTGGGCTCCAAGTTACACTGCACTGCAAAAAAAATCCATCTATACAAGCTTGTATATGCTTTGGAATGATGATATTTCCAAAGGATATACAAGATTGGAATGATGATATATACAAAAATATACAAGTTTGTATATACGACATATACAAAAATATACAAATTTGTATATATGGTACAGTGATCCCTCGCTATTGTGCTCTTCGATAAAGCGCTACCTCGGTTACTACGAGCGGTAACGCATGGCTCCCAAAATTTATGTACACTTTTATTACTGAGAGTTTTACACAGACATAATTGTATTGTTGTTCGTTGTTCATTTGCACATAACGCTTCTCATTGCATAATCAACCGTTTATCGCTGAATGGAGTTCTAATAATCTGTTTGAAAACATCCGCGGCAAGTCCCGGAAATATGATTGTTCAACTAGTTAACTTTTCACACTATACATCCTTTGATCTTAGAAGCACATGCATGCAATAAAAGAGAACCACAAGTGAAGTTTATATTCTTAATTAGTGGGCAATCCAATTTGAGGCGACACTGTCACATACATGTAGTTGCTGTCACAACACGGCGGTCATTCATTTCGTAATCGCGCTTTCGTAACATCGCCTGGTTTTTTTCCGTAGTTATAACAAGCGATTTCATTGGATTAAAATTTGTTTCTAATGACGCTTTCTTGCCGAAATCTGCTACAAGTTTCATGATTGGTCAATTTTGAGCATGTGACCTCAAGCAGCCAATCAAATTATAGCTGTGATACCAAGCTCGTGTTTGATAAATTTCAGAAGTTGGCGAAAGATTTTTTGTTAAATCGTGTTATTCTGAACGTTTTAAGCAGGAAATCACGATATATATTAAAAATATGGAACTTCGCGAATGTATCGTGCTAGGTTACGAGCTGTGACAAAGATTTTTCATGCATATATTTTTGCATTAAACGTTGTGTCCGAGCCGAGAATTCAAGGCTTTGGAATGATGATATTTCCAAAGGATATACAAGATTGGAATGATGATATATACAAAAATATACAAGTTTGTATATACGACATATACAAAAATATACAAATTTGTATATATGGTATATCCAAATTTGTTTTCTTTGTATATATTGGTAAAGGGAGATAATTGTTATGTATTTGTGTATAATTATTTTATATGTGCAAATTGAAGTGTTTTAAGTTGAGCACTGTGTTTCTTTGTATATGTTGGTAAAGGAGGATAATTGCTATGTATTGTTCTATAATTGTTTTGTATGTGCAAAATAGTACAGTATAGTTACAAAAAACTGATATAGTGGCGTGTAACATAACTGGAATGTTTAATTAGTACTCCACACTGGTAGCGGGAGTACATACTCTCCTTGCATTGATATTGACGGGTAAGCGATTGAGGCGTCTGTTACTTTTCCTGGCGTGGTGCTTGGTATTGAGTAGACTTTATGGTCAAATGCACAGAGAGGATAAGCTGTCGGGGGTGATTGCATTGGCAGTGACTTCTGTTTTGAAAGTGTTGAAATCAATTTGTAATGAGCTAGGATTCGTTTGTACGGGGAGGCCGCGATGTGATTTGTAACATGCTCTCGTGCACATGGCAGATTAGCCAACAGAGTGGATTGCACAGAGGATGAAAACTATTTTATTATTAATTTAAAGTGTTGAATTTGGTTTGTTCTGAGGTGTTGGTTTAATTGTAGGGTATACATTGTTATAATGTCAAATCTAGGCGGAACACGGAAAATCGCGTTTTTTAAAACGGCAGTCCTTGGAAAAATCCTCTTCAAAAGATTTTTTTTTTTAAATACTCCAAAAATATCGTGTTGCCGGACAACCGTGGCGGATTGTCCTGTTTTCGATCAGAGTTTTCAGCATCAAAAATGCCTATATTATTATACATCACACAATCATGGAATCATTTCCGGACATCATACGTTATCTATCCTGAATACTTGAACTATAACGGGAGGAGGGGTGGGGGGGTCGTCACACAGAAATTGTTAATACTCCAATAATGACTTTTTTATGATAAAGTTGTCTTTTATAAGTGAATGAGATGTTTGACAGTTGTTCATGTGAAAAAACTTTGAATGTTTATTCAGCGTCCGAAAACCCATAACACGGGGATATATGTTGTATTAATGTCTTATGTTTTACAAAAGATAAGTAAGTACAAAGGTATGCTTTTCTCAATATGCTTCAACATGGGAAAAGGGACATTGCAGTGAGTGGCAGTATTGCTCCCAGGTAGCGGCGGCGTCCACTAATGCCTACATCCACTAATGCCTACGGTCTACAAAGTCATGCACCAGTGATTTTCAGCGACAGCTGCTATCAGTGCATCATTTCTGCATCATTGCATTAGTTCTTATAGTATATACCAGCAGATATTTGATGATTTCAAAGAAATTTCAAAGAGTTCATTCCTAGCATGGGTATGTTGTTTTCATTGTGTAGGCATTATTCCACACTGCTTTATTTTTTTGTAGGCAATAGTAACTGTAGGCAAAAGTGGACGTAGGCATTAGGGGCTGGAACCCAGGTGGCCGGGTGCGCAGAAACTATTCCCGATTTTTTAAAAGTATTGATTTAACTCCGAAATTTTACATCCGCCATCTTTGTTTATTTGACTTTTGCCACTGTTACATTTGTTGGTATGATTATTGTCCAAAATTGCTTAAAATGCAATCAAATGTTCAAAACATTTCTTGGGGCTCAGCCTAATATCGTTAGCAAAGTCAACAAACTACGACCATAAATGTAATGTACAACAGGCGCAAGAAAATTTTTTAAAATCTTACAAATACAAATGATAAAAGGTCGAATATGAATACTTATACCTGTATTTTTTAGAACAAGAAATTGACACATTGACATATTCAGATTAAATTGATATGTTCTTTACTTATGTAAATGCAAATGATAAAAAAATAATTAACCATGAGATACTCTGGCTATTGTGCAAAGCATCCAGTCCCAATGAAAGTGAACAGCATGCCGATGTTATACAAAGCAATCATATAATATATCGCAACTGATAGTTCTAAACAATCAGGCAATCAACATAATGAAGGTATCAGTCGGCACATCGTGATATTTGAAGATAAAAAATGATAACACATGTCAGCAGTCTGGGGAGTAATACACAACATCTTGACAATGAACAAAAAGAAGAAGAAGAAGAATAGTTTATTAAAGTGTCACTATTTAGACAACCAACCATATTGGCTTTCGAGACAAAATACACATCACACCCCCATAGAAGTACCACGAACACACACATCCGCAAATTCAGTCACTAACCAACCCACATATATTACGTTACACACACCACACCACACCACACCACACCACACCACACCACACCACACCACGTACACCACACCACACCACACCACACCACACCACACCACACCACACCAGTACTATGGGATTCCATACTCGGTATTGACCCATGACATATCCTTCTTCATGTCAGGGAATGGGTTTTTGGATGGTGGTCAACGGACACATCTTGCCTTAGGGAAAGCTGCTGTACTGTCCAGCTTCTTCATGTTTGTCTCATCTGTGAGCCTCTTCGCCATCTGCAGTTCCGTCGACTCGCAGTTCTTTGGTCGTACTGTAAAAAATCTTTATGCCGTCTTCGTCATAGTTACTTTCCTCGGAGGGCATCAACTCTGCTATCTTTAATGCGTCCTCGTACCTCTGTTTCTTCTGGACGGGAAGGTTGCGATGGCGTATCCCGAGGACTCGGTTATGACTCTTCTGAAGAAAAACAACTTTATTTACAATTGCATTTCAAATTTATAATGCATATGCATGTATATCCATGTATATGCTCATGAGCAAAGGAGGAAAATTTGTGAAAATCAAAATCAAATTTATTCCGATAACCCTTAAGCAACGTGTCAGTATTATAGCTTGATGTATAAGAACAACACGGCTTAGCCTTTTTGAAGATTCACTCTTTGTAATTCGACATCAAACGGATTGCATCACACGCTAAGTAAACAATCTCATTTAACCCTTAATTAGTTAATTAATCTAGTTAACCTGCAGTATACTGTATCACTTAGTATTGCCTTAACGAGGAGTAATCCCTTGGTGAGTGATCAATTAATGTCTGGAGAAAGGGATTAGCCTTACTCACAATAAATTAACATTTCACACTGCAACAGAATAGACTATCGATCATTATGCCTTCATAAGAAAGTGAGAAAGATAAAGATTGAATGATACATAACGGGCCGTGCCTGCATTATATAGCCTGCAAGACTCGTCACTGTAAACTAATAGAGGATTAATTTCAATTTTACAGAATATTCAACTGCTAAGTATATGATAAAGTGTTGAAGTAACACTAGATATGTTTGAGATTACAGTTTTCAATTAACTGTATAATGTACCTTGCTGTCTTTGAGAGAGTCAGTGTCTGTAGAGCTGGCCTGGTCTTATTGGTATTCAGTCCCTAGGACACAAATATTGTTTACGAGCTTTGTATTGTGAGAAGCCGATTGCGTAAATAATATGTAATATATTTCCGTATTTTATTTTATAGTACTTGTTGTTTTAATATTGTTAACAACAGAGAGATCGAAGATTTTTTTGAAAAACCACAACAGCATGCGTATGTTCTAGCAAAAGGAAACTTGATAAATATTCATTTTGCTTAATTTCTACTTTGGAAAACTTATTTGGCGCTCTGAAAGCTTGACGCTGAATAATTTGGCACGCGCATGGTTGGATGCAAACCAAATGTTTAATTCTCGCAAATTAAGACACCAGCAGCGGTATAGGAGCATACATCTAATGTCATTCAATGCAGAATCAAGATGGCA